CTGTTGCAAACATCATTGAGATCTCAATTATCCCAGTTGTCTTTTTGTGTTCGGTTTTTCCATCTGAGCGGGTCGAGGTGACTTCTTATAGATTTCTGCTTTGTGCTGAAAGTACACTAAAGAGACAAATGATGATAACGCTCCAATTTTCTAACTTGAAAGCAAAGACTTCCACTTGTCCTTCTAATTGGTTTGCATTATCCTACTCAACACAAACTTTGCAGCAAAGTAAGAGTATTTATTTGTAAATTAGGATTGTTGGATATTCCCATCAAGTTTTTGCAATATGTAGCTTAACAGATGACTGCATTTTTTTTCCCAACAGCATATATGGAGTCTCAGATATGGTAAAAGTATCTACTGGTTTTCACCCAATGTTTCCTCCCATTAGTTCGGACTACGCAGGTGAAAAACATCAGTCATGGAGGTCAACTCAGTGCCAGCTTCCCTTCTAATCCATAGCTTTGACTGGGTTGGTTCTAAATTATACATTGTTCTGGTTTTGGAAACAGAATTTATTGCATGTTTGAAATTTCAAGTGTTTTTGCTGTAACCTTACAACAGAGAAGGCACTGCAGCTTTAAATGAATCGTATATCTAAGATATTCATGTTAAGTGCTTTTGAGATATCAAAGAGAATTAAATTCAAATGACTTGTTTTTCCAAGTGAACAGAATAATAATATATCAAAAAGCTCTTACAATGTGGATGAACTACAACATGAATCTGGCGTGGTTTCAGGCGATGCATTTCTGTTGCTATTGTGCTTTCCAAATTTAAATTCCCTTTGAGGCTGAAAAACTTGCAGGGCCTATAATTGCTAATGCAGGAAACATTTGAAGACCGACAGCCTTCTTCTTTGAAATGCTTGAGATTGGATCTGCGCTGAAAGAATATGGAACTATGCACAAAAGTTATGATGAATGCCACCTCATTGCAACAATTGTCAGTGATGTCAATTAAAACTTCAGGCGCCAGCTGCTAACAATGCAGACAACAGAGATAAAACTAGTGAAAATATGGACCAGCACTGAACACAATGGACCACAGTGTGCAGAAAGCCACCCTGCCTCCGAATAAGGCATCTGTTATTAAGAAACTGAACTCTCATTTTGTCAGTAGGTAAAATGAATATCTATAACCCTCTCTCTCTGGTTCCACTCATTATGTACCAGCTCACTATGCCTGATTGCATTGTAAGAAAAATTAATTGGGCCTCTGTGATAAACCAATGTAGCGAAAGATTCTTTAGTGGAAGGCTTCGCTGAGTTTGAGGTATTCAGATGTTGTTAAAAAGACATTAGAGGCACAGGAAGTAAAGAAGCCATTAAGGCAAAAGGAGATACCAACTTAATGGAAATCTTCTCCTACACCTCCAAGTTGGAGGAAACCTTTAACAAAAGAGAAAAAAGATGGAAACAAATAAATTATAAAAACTAAAAAGGAATGCAGACGTTCTCTCAGCAATCGCTGTAGAGGTTATTACAATAGCAGCATGGTCTTTATTAATGTTTTCTTGATTGCAGATAAGAGAATATAGTTGGAGATAAAACAATTGGCCCATAAAATACTGGTAATTTGCTCTACAAAGCATTTTATTTCTATCAAATTAAAGATATAATTATGTTTAAGGAGATGCAAGTTGAGGAAATACCACTTTCATACATATCTCACCAAATTAAAAAAAAGTTAAATAGATATGGAAAATTTCTCAGTTTAAGACAAAACGTTGTTGAACCTCAAAAGATGAAAAAATGTCTACACAAACACGTCCATTGTTGTAAAGTGGTGCTCAGGTTGTTAAATAGCTCTAAATAGATCTGAATCTCAAAATCTTTCTTTTTGACAAAATTAGGAAGAGATCTATAAGGCCATAAATGTCCAAATTACAACATATTTTTCCGTTGTAAAAAAGAAAATCGCTGGGTAACCTTTAAATAACCATAAAAAATTTCCATAGGTACCCAGTTTCTGCAGGGATATTTGTTTTTATTATAGTTCAAATGTTATTTCATGAAATTGGAATAAAATATTACTTTCCAAAGGTTTCAAGACCTCTAAGAAGCATGCCAAAATTAATGCATGTCTCTATATCTTTATACTCTGATTTGTATCTTTGTTCATTGTTTAATTATTTTAATACTTCTTAATGTAGCTTAGCAGACAAAATTTTATTCAGTGTATTTTGTTCTTATCATTACGCTGTATCATCAGCAGTTGTAATAATTGTTGCTTATAAGTTAAAGCAGTTGGACCATTAACACATTAAGTTTTTTGCAGAGGAAACGGAGGTTATCATACATTAAGAAACTTTTACAAACTAGCTTTTTGCAGTGTATTTGACAAAATAAGAAATAACCACACTGTGTTTTGTTCTATGTGTAAGATTTATCCGCTGTAGTAAAATTGGGTTATATTCGATGAGCTAAGTCTCTCAGTTTATTTGGTGTTTGTTTGTAACAGTCATTGTATGCATTTCTTTTTGTTAAGATTGCAAAAAGAATTTAAAAAAAAGAACCTTTATTTCAGAGGAAATAATTTTCTCACAACTTTTGAAGGTTGTTATTTAAAACTTCCTCTCAGAGAAAATATGGAGTCAGAATACTAAAAAAACACAGATAGTCTGAGCTCTTCGTCTAAAAAGCATCCAAAAGATGACTCACACACACTTTACTGTCTGTCAGGTGTGTGACGGATGACCTCGTTCATGCTTTCTCCCCAATCAAGACCAGTGATCCGTCTGATCAAATTAGCTTATGGTTCTCCATCTGGACGTCCAGGCTCAGCTGTGTGTCTCTAGCCTGAATCCAATGTCCTTGTTGGGTGCAAGTGTGGGGTCTGTGGAGTCGAGGTCACCTGTCTTACATTTGGACAGCCTCCTTGAGCAAAAGACAGCTGCTGCTGTTAATACACAACACACACACACACACAGCTACAAGCCTCTGGAGTGACCATGTCTACTTCTGCAATGCCACCCTGTTAAATATAACTTAAAAGCAGAAGTATGTTAAACAAAATGATAAAAAGTAAGTGTTGGAAATGAAAGATAAAAGGTATATATTTTATCAGCATTTAATTAGCTGTCTTGAAAATCATTCATTATTTTCAATCACATATAAGTTGACATGTAGCTTGAGTTCAGGGCATACAGCAGCTGTTTAAAAATGGATGGAATGGCAGAGGCAACAGATAACTACAAAATAATGCAAGAGCTATGGGAAAAGTCCTTACAGGTATGAAATGTTACCACCTCCCAGTGAATGAATCCCAACTAACATTACCCTTAACAAGAACTTGCTCAAAGTTCAGTTCATAGGAATTCGTTAACTCATCATCTCTCTTCCATGCTGACAGCAGTGAGATAAATTTACACTCCAATCATTTACGACTTTAGTTTCATTTACTAGTTTTTACAACATGGAGTCTTCTCAAGGTAGCTGTATTTGAAATTATGTTTTTTTCCCTAGAGTTTCTCAGTTCATACATGTTGTATTTTACTATAGCAATAATTATATTAGACCAAAGCTAATTTACAGTTTTTTTGTCTTGCTTTGTTACGACAAAGAAAAGAAATCAGAGACTAAAACAAATAGGTTCTTTGATGTTATATTAGCAACAGTGAGACACAGAGTTGTTTATCGGACCTAGCAGCTCTTTCTATAACCATAAATTCCATATTATGAATAAACTTGTCCTTTTATATCACATAAGTTCATTTGCCAGAACCACAGGCAGCAGGTTTATGGAGTCAAGATTGTCAGGATAATAGCTCAGCATTCACCTGAGCAAAATGGATGAGATATATGTGGGGGATTGATCCTTTCTGGTTGATTCCTGTCATAGGCCTCATTGTCTTTAATAATAATAAAAAAAATAAAAAAAACTTGTCCATCATCCTCCAGATTTTACAATTGCCTCATTTGGAGTGAGTCATTCAGTCGTAGGTCCATAGGACAATGGTACAGTATGATTATGGTGGAGTTGGAGGATCACACAAACAACTCATTGGTTGAAGTACAGAAAAACGTCACTTCCTCCCCAGTGAGAGTCCAACTGGTGGTGGAAACATTCTATTGTACCAAACTGCACCAACCCATGTCGTACTGTTCAGAGGAAATGAGTCATATGTGTATCAGGTTCTGCTAGATCCACAGACAATGATGAATGTTGTCTGCCTGTGTGTTGGTGAACAGCTGCAGTTTTTGCCTTATGAAATAATCATGTCATTAGTCAGAAATGGTTTTAGATTTCACACCTTAAGACATGAGTTTGGAACAATGCTGTCTGAAAGTGATGGGGAATGAAAAATGTTATGAATTAAAGGCTTCCACAAACAGAGCTAGATAGATGTGCCACAGTGAAATTTCACAACAAGCAACCAAATCCTTCCCTTAAAGAAACCTTTGCCATCTTTTGCTGAACAATAACCAAGGTTTGACCTGAAGGTTTTCTAGTTTATTGCAGCCATCCATTCTGCTATAGGAAATAAACTTAAATATAGAATATTGCAGTAAATCATAACACACCAGAAAGAAAGTATGTTTTTATGTCCTGTGTCATCTTGAAACAGCACAGTCACATTTTCACATGGCTATTTTCGCACAGCAGTGCAACAACAGCAGGAGTTGAGGTTATTTACCTTGTTTTTCAAGAAGTATAATGGTCTGAAATTTTAAAAAACTAAGAGATTAACTTTTGTTTGACACATTTTAGCAAATTAAATTTTGGTTTTGTTCAAAAAACTGAAAAAAGAAAGAAAATAAAAGTAAAATAAAACATCAATACAGATTGAGTGATTTCTTTAGTGTTAAAAGCAGACAAAGATGGATTAAGTGAAAAAAATAAAAAATAAAACCCCAAAGGATGTCTAGTAAACTACATGCTTAATCCAGGATAGAAGCTTCACATCTCTGTGACAGTGCCCTGTGACCTACTTATTTAATCCACAAAGGGACGATGAGGACACACAGGTTCTTCTGTCTGTCCTTTAAATCTTAACATCAGCTTCTTACCTGCTCCAATTTCCAGTGGAACTCAGCTGGTCTGAAGGTGTCCACCTGAGTAAAGTCCCTCCTCAGCAGGAATACCAGCCGGCAATTATGGACATACAACGAGTAGTGATGACGATTCATCTCTGTAGGAGAAAGACAGATGAGTAGGCACCAGGGAGCAAATCTCACCACACCTACTCACAACTGTCAGGTAAAGTCAGTCTGACATCTGACTTCCTGAATCCACAGGAAACTGGGACAGTGGTGCTTTCACTGACTGAGGCCACCTGTCAGATATTCATTCCCACTTTAAGTGCAAATATTAATACGGAACTAATGCCAATTGCATTGCTGCATAAATGTATTACTAAAAATTAAATAATAATTTTCAAAAAAACATTTCTCATTTGCTGGCTAGACAAAAACTGCAAATGAAAAGAAAATAGCAGTGAAGTATCAAAAATGTAGTTGCTATTTGAAAATCATCAGAAGCGTCACGTTTTTGCCCAGGAAAATTAAAATAGATGGGTTTTATGTATCCAGAGTGTTTATAGTAAAAGTCTATGTAGTGTTAATTTTTTTTTCCAAAATAGAGCAACAAATTCTTGCTGCTGTAACTAAAATCTGGAGTCCGCTAAGGTTGAATATACGTTTCCTGGAGATGGCCCCTAACTTTAGCTCACAGTGCAGATCTTTGTCACAGGCACCTGAGCTAGATGGGCACAATCAATTTGTTGTCCATCCCTGTCTCTTCCAGGCATTTGCCAGGAAGAAACTTCAGAAAAGACAAACGACTCACCGGTTTTGTCAGAGTTACAGAGCAGCGTCTCCTTCTCAGCTCTGAGCCCGGGGCTCGGTCCGTGCTTCATCCACGTTGCGATTGTGAACTGGTCGGTCAGATTCTGGGGAACCACCCAGTCGGGGATTTTGGCTGCCTGACGCCCGTCAAACCTGAAGATCAGGTCGCTGTCCCGTCCATCGTCAGACACGAGGGAAGCTGTCCAGTTGGTGGCGGCGCTGGGGGCCGGGAGGAGGTCGGTGCTACCCGATGAGGCGCCTGGAGGTCACAGCAGTGGGAATGAAGAAAGAGAGCAACACAAGATGTGTCAATAACAATCATGGAAGATACGTAGTGTATATTGCCTTAACCTTGGGTATGATTACTTATGAGTAAGGAAGATGACAGGGCTTAATATGTAATCAATAGAGCAAGATGGATAGAGGATGCAAGTATTGATTCATGGCAGATGAAACTAACTTTAAAAAGAAGAGAGATGCGAGTCATTGTCCATAAATTTGGAGCATAGCTCACAGCTGAATTGTGCCTCTATGGAAACCAGAGAGGACACCGACTGAGCACTGTGGTTACACAATGAGAGGAGACGCAGCAGGCACTTGCTGAGGAGGACAAAAGTGTGGTATGAATTGTTTACAGCTGACACTTTTGGTATATGATCCCCACAAGTCCTGACAAAATACACCGATCATCACTGCACAGCATTAAGTCATTCCATTCCTTTTCCCTCTGCGTACAGCTCCATCATTCCTTTTACACAATAACCTTAGTGTCTTGAGATCTGAGAGGTCTTTCTTTCTAAGCTGTCACCTTGAAAAAAATATTTTTGCCACATTGCTCATCTTGTGCCTTGACATATTTGACATGCTCTTCAGTGATCTGTCATTTCCTTTCAAGATGTTGCCCTCAATAAATGTTCTGAAGATTTCTTTTTTTTAAATTGTCAATAATGATAGTGCGCTTGTTGCCTTTTATTTCTGCTGTTCTAATGTTGATATTTGGTTGATACCATAGTGTTTGCTGGATCCAAACAAGGAGAAGCTGACGTTTTCTGGCTCAGATACTTCAGCTTTCATATCTGTAACATTTTGCAGATGCCTGTGGAGTGATTTCAGCAGAATGAAGTCCTTGGGATTTCTGGGTTAACTTTATTTTTTGATATTTTCATCCTAATTTAGTCGATTAAAGTGGGAAGGCCTGAGCTGTCCGAATGACCAAATGTAGTGTGAAGTGCTTTGGGGTCCTCTGAACCATAAAGCACTGGCTTGTACTTGCACTATACAAGAACAAGTCATTTACCATTTACCATATGTGACACAGCACACTGAAGTTCAACGTGTCTATTGAGGGCACACGTTATATCTTTGTGTTACAATACTATATTAAGATTTAAAAAAAAGTATCCTCCTGATTTTTAGCGTGTGTACTCTGCCTCATCTCAAGTGTCTCCGTTCAACTACATATTTTAATAATTACAATTTCTACAAAAACATAATCATTCATGATTCTAACCAAAAAGGGAGTTAGAGTTATCAATTAATCTGTCAGTTTAACAAAGAAACACATTCCTGTTGAGCTATCAGTATTTAATATTCTCTTTATTTTTCCTTGGGCTCTGTCTGGTGGCAAACCCTCGTCTTCCTCAGCGTCTGTAGCTACTTCTGCATTCTTATCTCCGTGAACACTACAACAAGTCTACCGCAGTCCTTCATTCCCCCAGGGACGTCTGCATGCACTGTCCCTCAAAACAGTGCTCAACTGACTACATATCAAATTCCCTACACTGTGTAGGTCTTTGCACACTTTGTCTAAACAAAAGAAAAAGGCTACTACCTGTTACTGATACAATTTATTTAACTTCCAATAATTTTCATAAAAGAAATCTGAAGTATTTTCAAGAATAGTTTATTACAGAAGGACTTATTAGAATTTCTTCCCCACATTCTCCCAAATGTTAACTAATACACAAGACCTTAATTGTTATTTGATGTTAGGGTCTCGCACAACAAAGCACATGGCAAGTTATTTCAGAGGTGTTCAGCATTTTGGGTGACAGCCAGCCATGTGTGTTTGATGTTTTAATGCACTTACACTGGTTGGCTAGTAGATGGCAATGTTTGGAGTGGCATACGCTAAACCAATCAAGATGCTTTTGACTAGCTGCCCACTCAGCATGAAAGGGACACCAAGGGAGTTATGCACTGCAGGTAAGATATTAACTACTTGCAACATTTTTAACAGAACCTCACTTGAAAAATCCCAGACAGTCCCTTTAAAGCAAATTTTTAAATGTTTCTCCACTGATGAATGCTAATGCAGCCCAATGATACAGAAACCACAGCACTGGTTAGAGATGATATTGGACACTGTTGTCCAAATGCCACAGGCATCTGCTCATTTCTGCTAAAAGCACATTAGCACATTAATTGGTGTTTTCCTCCATCTCTAAAGGTCTGATTTTCCTCCCCTGCCTTCTTATGGCACCAGCAATGTTTCAACTCAACTAATTAAATTCCCTCAGTAAATAAAAACTGATCGACTTCTCCAACACCCAGCTGCAAATGCTGCTTTGCCCAATGTCTCTGTACATTATCTGAAATTGATTGTGCTTTAAAAAAGCAATTACAATTTATTCTATTTGCTATCAGATAACGATTATGAGGTGCCAGAAAAGAGCTCTTTTGTGGTAAACCATGCATGGACTGGGAGCCGAGGGGGGGAGGCAGGAGAACCGGGGGTGGGGATTATGCATTCAGATGAGCTGGAGTGGGGCTCGTGTGAAGGCCGTTAGTCAAAGATGATGACTCCTGCTCCCCTGCTGGCAGTGCGGTGTGGGTGGGGCAGAGGAGACGGGGAACCTGGCTGCTTTGTTTGGACTCTGGGGACTGACACGGCGACTCTGCTGCTCATCAGTCACTGAGGAGGGAGCGTGGCTGCATCTAGGGCGGCTAATGCCCTCGCTCCGTCACATCATTAGTGACACAGCTTTAAGTTGCCTTTCTGGTGCCTTCATTTAGCACAGGGGTTTACCAGGGACATTAAGTGGAAATAAAACCGCAACACAGGCTGAGAGCTTTTAGATGTTAATTTAAAAAGGGCAAAAGGAAGGCGCCTCAGGCCCTGTCTGACCCTGCTTCTCTGAGTGTTGACTTTAAGCAGAAAGCATAATCCTAATTTCATGCTCTAGTCTGCTGCTTCGCTTCTCACGACAACATCAGCAGACATACACAACAAAACCTTCTGTCAGGATGATTTGAAATCTCCAGATGATGTGCACATATATAAGGTTTTGCTAAAGGACTCATAGACGTTGAACCTTTGCATGTTTAGTCACGTTTCAACCACAAAGTAGAGCAAGATTGTGAAGTGGAAGGAAAAGTGTGGAAAGTTTTCCACATTTGCTACCACTACAAATCTGAAAAGTGTGGGGTGAATTTGAATCTAAACCACTTTAGTCGGATACACTAAAATGAAATTGTGTACAACCAACAGTTTTCAGAAGTAATCTACTTTTACAAATAGAGCCTACTTGTGTGAAATGTAGGGTGCTTCGGGTGCACCAGAGTTAGTTTTCTCAGAAAGTTCACTTCAGTTGGGGAGGTGGGCAAGCTTTTTAATTCATGTTTTGACAAATCAAGAATTGCCTGAAGACACAGCTCACTTATAAATAGTCTGTTGACATACAGAGGGGGCTGCACAGTGGTGCAGTTGGTAGCACTGTTGCCTTGCAGCAAGAAGGTCCTGGGTTCAATTCCCAGCCCAGGGTCTTTCTGCATGGAGTTTGCATGTTCTCCCTGTGCATGCGTGGGTTCTCTCCGGATACTCTGGCTTCCTCCCGCAGTCCAGAAACATGACTGTCAGATTAATCTGCCTCTCTAAATTCTCCCTAGGTGTGAGTGTGTATGTGCATGGTTGTTCGTCCTGTCTGTCTCTGTGTTGACCTGCGACAGACTGGCGACCTGTCCAGGTGACCCTGCCTCTCGCCTGAAATGTCTTGCTGGAGACAGGCACCAGCACCTCCCAACCCCGCTAGGGACAAGGGTGTACAGAAATGGATGGATGGACATACAGAAGAGAAATAAACTATCTTGTGAACTAAAAAGAGGAACTGAACCAAACAAAGAGTTATGCATATGATTCACAAACAATCGTAATGTGGAGACATTTTAATCTTATTTTAATTTCTGCACCTGTGAAAACATGTTAAAACCTCTCACTTTCTACCGTTTGTCCTGGACTGTTGCATTTGTTTCATATATAGCATTGTGCAGTAGAATGTAATACAAAATATGGAGTATAAAAGGGATTTAGTCAATATTACAGTCTTCAGAAAGTTGGGCATAGGCCCACCTGCATTCAGCTACTTTGGGTACAAACACAATCAAAATATGTTTCTAAAACTGCTACACATTTTTATATACTATATAAAAATACATTATTTATATTTCATTTAATAGTGTGCAGTACATATAATATGTTTTGTAAATTGCTTTTGGGACATTCTTAGTTCATATTAACTGATGCATCAAGGTGAACTGGCTGAAATTTTTATTGAAAACACCAGAGCACCTGCTAAAAGTGTTTGGCATTTATTTAAATGCAGAGAATCTCGTACAAAGTCGAGGTGCCTTCTCTTCACCCTGAAATATCATTATATATTTATGAATGGATTGTTTAATTCAGGGGTTTGCATGAGGCTCCAGAGACCCAATGTGCCTTGTTGGGCCCTCCACTGTGGTTGTTAAAAAAAACAAATAAGAAATGTTTGTAATTATAAAGGCAATTAGAAAGGGTGCTATTAGCAGTTCTTCTGTGTGTTTATATGCACTATCCACATATAATAGCTACATTAAAAGGATCAAGGCTTGTCATTTTTTTATTTTTTTTTGCTTCAAACACAATTTTATTTTTTTATTTGTGCTACCAATTTTCATTATTTTCCTCGTTCTGCAAAATTTGCTTTTGTTTATTTGTAAAACTTGGATCCTTTGTTTCATTCTGAAATCTGAAAATATAGTTTGATGTTCTTAGTTTTCAAAATAGAACATTTCATTTAGTACATAGTTATGAAGGTAAGTGTTAGGGTTAGCCTATAGAAATGAATTAAAAGTTGATAGAATTCAATGCAAAGTCCCTGTGAAGACAGAAAGACAGACTATGTGTTCATGTGTAGCACTCAAAGTTTAAATGTTACCAGTGTTTTGAGTGTTCTGTTCAAAAATAAGATAAGTTTAGTAACATGTACATTATGGATTTTGAAGTAAACTCCTGGCAGCCACCAACAGTTGTGTTCACTAAAAGGGAGATGCTGCTGCCAACTGGCTTGGTTAGCTGGCCTCTCTGTTGGGCATGTTGCCAAAGGAAGCAGGACAACCAGTTTAAAATGCCAAATACAAATTATTTTGGCTTTGTTTGAGGCCCTGTCCACTCAGAATTTTTTTTTTATTTTTATTTTTTTCAAAAAGAGGAATGTTTTTTGCCCTGCATCCACACTGAAACAGTGTTTTATGGGATCCAAAAAGGCTGACCAGGTGCTTTGTGAGCTTTGTCAGAAGGAAATTATGGAACACAAACAGCCAGGCAAAAGAAGAAACCAACCACAAAGTTTCTGTAGAGATTTTTCTGAGTAGGTCTCTCGGTCGCAGCCCTTCCCGATGTGGCTGGTCTGCAGCTCCACGGTGACCCTCAACGAAGACAGCGGCTCACCACAGGTCTCAAGGTGCATATTGGGAAACAGCTGCTTACTGCCAGTTCCTGGCTCATAGTCCACTCGTTTATTCCAGCCTGAGAGAAGGAAGAGATGGAAGGACAGAGCTGTAAATAAAAGGGACAGTCTGCTCTTAAATGGTAAATTATCAATAATCACAATGATATGCTGTGCTTTTGCTATGGCACATTTTATGACCCCTTCTCTTGATTTTAGAAGCCCGTCAAAAAAACCCAAAACAAAACATGATTTTCAATTTTTCCTGTTCGTGGTTGTTGTGTTATGGCAAGTCAGTATCTTCCTAGGACAAGATAGCTGGCTTATGAAATTGTGCCTCTATTTTTGGAGTGCAGTGCCCGTCTCAGCAGCAACAGTCATTATGCTGTCACTGTCCTGTCAGATGTGAAGATATCATTCTGGTTTGGAAATGATTTTTCATGTTTGATGTCCAATCTTTTCCTCCAGTCTTTGTAGTGTGCATTTGTGTTCAGTTTGCAGCTTGTACTGAAATTAAAACCAGTTCTGTCAGAAGGAAACTGCAGAATTTTAGCCACATCATTGAGCTAACTAACAAATATTGGGAAATTGCATGCAAACCTTTGAATTTGGGGAAAGTGAAAAAAAAAAAAAAATCTAAATAATTTAGTATTTTTGGTCATTCTAACTGACCTAAAACAGAAAGAATTGTTTTGCAAGAGAAAATAAGCATTGACACATCCTTTTTCACCTGCATGAGTTATATAATCATTGATGAAAGTTTTCCTTCACAATTCTTTCATTTGCAAATCAGAATAAAAAAAATAAAATAAAAAAAAACTTTCAACTATTTAAAACCATCAGTGTTGCTTGTGGAAGTGAATGGCTGCCAATTCACCAATCAGTATGAACAGAACATGTAAGGAGCTAAAGGCAAACACATGGAGTCTAGATAAAAGCAGCAGGAGGGGATGAAACCAATTCTGTTGTTCAGCAGCCTGTTAAATCTGCCATGTTCGCTTCCTCACACAATCACCATGTCATGCTCAAACACATAGGAACACACCGCATCTGTTTTGTTGCTGATTTACCTCCTCGAGTCTGCAACCACTGTGGGCTGCAGCAGCACTGTTACGACGGGATTGTCTGTGATTGTGATAAAAATGTGCACACACCGTGGGGCATGCTTAACAAGAACAAAAAAACTAAAAAAATAAGTGAGAAAGGGACCAAAGGCATAAACAGGCTTTGTTGATTTATTATGGTTCATACCTTTCTCTCCCACATATGTTTTTCTCGCCACAGTGGCACTGTGTTGTTCTTGGATTTATGGCCCAGCTTCTCACCTTTAGATCACTTCTTTATGTGTCATCTCTTTCTGTAGTCTGCTCTGGGAATTCACAGCTCAAAGGTGGTCAGGTACCGAAAGTAACAATTGGGACGTTACTAGTACGCCGTAGTGTGAAGAAGAAACATCAGGGCAACTGACCTTAGTTTAATGAGATACCAAAACGGATGCAACTAACACTTGCAATGAAACAATTTGAATTATATTTTTGATTGTTTTCCATCAAATATCTCATTATTACATTAACAATAATGCACAACAGGCTCTTCAACTGGGTTTACTCTTGTACAGTTCATGGAATTTTACAAAGGTTTTGTTTTGTGACTTTATTGTGGATTTGCTCCAACAGTGTACACATTTTTACATGCAAATCAGATTTACATATAAACCACCACTACTATTTGGTTAAATGTATCTTAACCCCACACATTTTGCAATTGTCCACAAGCTTCTAGCATAGTTATGGCTGGATATTTTTGTCTATTCCAGAAAAAAAATAAATAAATAATGGACAGACAAGATAAAAATACGACAGGAATATGCCAATGGCTCCAATGGCTTAGCCTGCATATTGGTAAGGACAGTCATCCTCTTTGTTAATAGTACCCAATAAGCAAAAATTATTTTTATGTTTTTGTTTCCCATTGACTTAAGATGAGGGGAATATGCTTAAAAAGTTCATGTTCTGAGTGGTACCAGTCATTTAAATGTTGCCCCTAAATTGTGTTTTTACACTTAGCTTAGCTCAGTACAATAACTTGAAAAGTGGTTTAAAACAGTTACAAAAACTGCCTTTACCAGTGTTGAATAGACACCTAAAGGAAATGTCTCTAAGCTAAGCTACTGTACAAAAGTCAAGCCCTAAACTAAAAGGAAAATAAAAAGATTTGATTAAAAAACATGGTTTTGCTATAGTTTTCTGCCCTATATCTCTCTTTTTTATTTTGCTGTGTCATACTGGGACTGGGACTGCATCATTAAGCAGTTTCAAGATGGAGTAAGGGCATAGCAGGTTATTTAGCAATAACTTACTCGCCAGAAAACAGAGAAATGACCTGTCTGTGACTCGGCTTTAACTCAATATGGGGCCGGCTTTATATCGTGAGAAATGGAGGAGAATGAGGCAGCACCTGGTTAAGGATTCATGGTGAGGAGTCGGTGAAGGTGGAAGGAAACATGAGCTGTAATGAGCTCAGGATGGAGGCTGCATATAGAAAGCCACGAAAGGCTTGGGGTGTACTTGAACATGAATCATTTAAGGTCTCTGGGTTAGAGAGCAGTGGACAAACAAGAGGTAAGGTCTGCAAAGACAGATAAAGATTATTCTATACCTGTTTGAGTGCCATTGTCATTACAGAGTTGGCTTATTATTGACAGCCAATTTAACTGTCTTGAATTATTATTATGAGAACCTGAGATAAATACAAAGTTTCTCAAATAGTTTCTTGATACAAGATTCTAATACCTTCATCACTCTAATGTACATAATTAATTTATGGAAATATACTTCATATGCACTTCATTACGGCTTTTCCAATAATCTGATACTGCACTAGACATTTTTTGATCTCCAGCTAAATCAGGCAGCCACAAATGTTTTTTAGTCCCACATCACAGAGCTGCCACACAAAACATGAGAAGAAAATATAAAAGAAACTCTTTAGTTGATTATAAATGAACAAAGCCACAAGCCAATCATATGCAAATTTGTAGATTATTCCTAGGAAATACTGCTTTAGCTGGAATTAAAAACAATCATTCATAAGACCATTTTTTTTTTTTTTTTAGAATTTTTAGTGACTTTTCTCAAAGTCAAAAGTTTACATATATTTAATTTAGCAAAAAGGAATCATTTTGGTAATTCTGACTAAGCTAAAACAAGAAAAGCTTCATTTGATTCAACTTCAGGTAGTGAGAAAAAAATTATTTGCGTCTTTTTTTAATTCATGTATATAAATATATGGTATAAACTGTATGTAAAAGCCTGAGCTACAAGTGAGCAACTAGCAGGCTGTGTGGGAACTGACAGAGAACTATTGAGCAAGCGTTTGTGTAATGTAAATGCACACAGATCAAGTTATTGGTTGTTCACATAGATATATACGCAGAGATCACTCTCACTGCATGCACAGATTGGCTGCTGCTTGCTCAACTTGGAGACACAAAAATCGCGCCATATATTCCTACTCGTAAACCGTCTCATGACAAATATTCACCTTCACATCTTCCCAGAGTTATGCTTATATAAACAGGAGACGGGTCCAAAACAAAGCAGAAGGGCCAAGTTGTAGATTGCACTGATTTCCTGTGAGTTAGAAGTCAAATGATGAATTGTGTGCACAGGGTGTGATGTGAACTGCTATCCGATGCGTTGAAGACGTTAACTCAACATTAAGAGAACAAAGGACCAACGGTCACGGTAGCATGGACAGCAGTACATCAGCAGATGTTCTCCCACACTAAAGGGCACATCGCTTTCTGAGAGACCAGAGTCAGTGAGTTAGAAAGCAAAACAATGTGAGGCTGAAATGTAAGCTGTTAGAGGAAGGAGAAGGAAGAGGCATTTTCTGCACAAAGAAAAAAGCTATTTATTATTTCACGCAAAAACAACCTTGTATCAGTGACTAATATTTAGCTCTGACATTTATCTTTAATAAAGGAGCCACTGCTGTAATAAAAATAAAGGTTTTTTGCCAAGAACTCAGTGGGGAAAAATAAACTAATTTACCTTCAACATATTTGTTTTTTAAACACTACTATGTTTACCCTTCACTAATGTGGAGGGTAAAACCAAGCCAAATAAAATGAAAAAAAAAAAAAAAAAAAAACATTGGTTATAATTAAAATGCAGAAATCTGTTGTAATTTGTCATTATGCACTTGTAGAATTTTCTTACTTAGGAATATAAAGCATTTCCACCCTCAGCGGTTTAATTATCTACTCACAATTTTTATATCAGTCATTGCAAGATAACATGCTTGTAGTAATTGTAACCTGCAATTAGTCAATTAGTAAAGACTTTTATTGTTGCGGGCCCACTTCCTGTGTTGCCCCAAATTCTTCAACTTATTTAAAGCCCCGCCTCCAGCGCAGTTTGAACTACATCACCTGTTCCACTGTGATTGTGGCTGGCTGTTTGGCATCTTGCTGACAATTCATCCTGGAAATTCACCCAAAATCTCTGAATCCACAGATTTGATATTTTGGTGAGTTTGGTTGTGTGATAGCACTATTTTTTTTTAGCCTGAAATTTCTGCTCGATTGCTCATTGGAGCATTGTTTTATTAGAACTGTTGGTGTTGTTACCTGGGCCGTCACCAAGACTGTCACAGCTGATTGTGGGTTAGTACGCCCCACTCTCTTCACAAAGGTAACCTAATCGCTGGTATTGTGCATGTTCTGGCACTGTTGTAATGAAATGTATTAAAATAGGATGTAGCTACATTTAAACTGATATTGCGCAGTATATTTTCTTTTTCTCATTTTGCTTGAGTATTTGAGTTAATTTATTTTATTTTCCTTGGTATTCTGAAAGTTAACTTTGATTTCAACTTTTCAACTTTAACCTTAAATTGATTAGTTTGAAATATGATTGATATTCTTTTTGTTTAAATTATGGTTAATTTAATCTAACTGAAATGTTTAGTTTAATTATTAGATATTTAATAATTGCATTTGTTTGCATATCATTGTTTAAAACACTTAATGGTTGTTGTTTTTTTTTTGCCTTTTAGGTCGGGTTTTTTTTATTTT